GATCACCTCACACTGCCCAATCCACTTCAAAACCTGCGTGAAACAATTTAGTTGAGATATTTTCTGGCTGAGCAGACAGTCCAATTAAAATCCACCACCATATCCGCATTTAAAATGACATAGCGAATTGCCCACCATTTAATGCACAGAATACCTAAGTTTAGCATTAAGCATATCTTGCTCCTGGAACCAAGACAATCCATCCCACACGGTGATCATGCGCTGAATTAATTAAGCAATATTGCCTGATGAAGAATTAATGGGTTGGGATACGTCGTAAGTCAGCAAACTTTCTACACTGCTGAGGGCTTCATCTAACCAAATTAGGACTTGTAATACGTAAGCGGTTAAAATGGTGGCAGCAGGACAAACTTGTCTAGATTGAGACTGAAGACGACGCCAGTCGAGTTCATTGCTGACGCGCTCGTTAATTTCGTCAACAGTTGCAACAGATTCCCCGAGTTCGGAAATAAGACGATGTACACGTTCCACTGCAGTCTCTGAACTATCACCAACACCTGAATCACTAGAGCCCGGACCTCCTGGGAGAAAAAAAACATTATAAGCGTCGTGTCTCAGGTCGGTATTTTCCCCGGAGTGAAAACTACAATCCGAAGTACTTACCAGCAGGAAAGTTTACTGCAACTGACTCGAAGATACGGATAAGTTCACCGCCTTTGTTGAGCACTTCTTCTACCTTCGGAAGAACTGCAGTACAAGACACGTTCACCTCCTCTAAAGCAGCAATGCTAGGTGCCTGTCGAGGATCTGATATCCAATATAAATCAGAAGCAGCACCAGAGGCAGAGACACCAGAAGTGGAAGGAACAGTACCGGCGGCGTTCGATTCCGTTGTCGCTGTTGGAGCCGTAGGGGAAGTCGAGGCAGCCACCGACGTAGCGTTGGTCACTGCCGTGATCGCAGGCACATCCCGACGCAAACCCTCCATAGAGTTGTGGACATCAGCTTCAAATAGACGCAATTGCATACAAAGTTCCAGTCTCATTTGTCGGTCTCCCAGAAGCTCCCATACAGCGTCACGCTCATTGGTAACCTATAGAGGAAAGGTAACATCACAAGAGGCAAAAACAGGGGAGAATTAATCGATGTCCTGAATGCTGCACCTTAATCTCCAGTTTAAGGAGGTCAAAGAAGTGAGCTCAGTGTGCTATGAGCGGTAAAAGAAAACAGACAAAAAGAGGCGAATGAATCAGCCGTCATAAAGAAATTACGAAACGCCTCACTTCACATAATATTGAGAAGACCTTCAGACAAGTAGTTAAACTATATAAGAGTTCAAAAGGCCAAAAAATTTATGATTTCTGTGGTGTCTACGCGCCCCAAGCGAAAGGAACAACCGGGAAACACGGAACGATAACAGAGATCAGTTGTGAAAGGCAATGTAAGGAAATTAGCCGAAATGCGCTAAACATGGAAGACATATAAACTCTAAAAAGGTCAACTTGTAAGAACAAGAGATAATAACAACCTGAGTGAGAATGGAACGAAGATGAGCAGCCTCCTCGGAGTCCTGGAGGCGCGAGATAAGAGCCTTTCCTTCGGAGACAACCCGTTTGACTGCGGCCTCGAGACTGTCTCGGTGCTGGCGGAAGGCGGTTAGTTCGTCGTCCATGCCCTCTATGGTAGGTGGGAAGTGCTCGCCAGGGTTGTAGGACTCACTGGCGTTATGTAGCCAATTTAGTACCTCTTTTGTGTGGCCATAGAATCCACAGGCTAAGTCCAGCATCTCCCGCCTAGAGTCCACTGCATTGGTGAAACTCGTTATGCGTTGCTGTAACTTGGCTGCCTCCTGCAGGTTCATGAAAGACAAGGTTTTGTGATGAAAGCATAGCGCAAAGAAAAAGAACAGAGTTGTAACGGAAATCAGAGTAGCCTGGTGGTGCGCAAAGTGGTGACCCTACCCAGAAAGCAACTAGTAGGCTTGAGAAACAAAAAAATCAAAACGAAATGACTCAAAAGCAGCTTGAGGACCCCTGGCAGCAGCGTAAAGGAAACACAGCATTTGCCACGCAAGTAGTGGTTCTTAATAGCAGTTTTGAAGAGGAATTACCTTCGTAATCCAACGACTAAATTGACATTTGATGGCTCGATTCGACATAATGGCGCCATTTCTCATGGTACGGACTAATTAAAACCGTACTAAAAATAAAACCAGTGTTAAAACTTGGATCCTTAACAGACATTGCTGATTTTCGCAGATATGCAGCAAATAAGCGAAAAGCGCACAGTAGCGCTGTCGTACAACACAAACTTGTAGTAAATGCATAATAAACTTCCACTGCCAAGACGCACATAGTCATTTCGCAAGCGCGATTAACAGTCAAAATGGACGATGAGAAAAACGTTAATGGCCGGACGGGCCTAGACAACAGATAAGTCAATAGCCAATCAGTGGTCCAAAAAACGCCACAGACCCGAAGAATCTGACGCGGAGATACTTCGAGATTTGGGAGTTTGCAAGGTGAATGAATGCTACATAAAAGGGATGTGCAATTTGAGCAGACATTTTAGGACCTTGCTGTCCAGGAGAGAACAGGGCAAGCGGTCAAATAACACAGCAGTCTGAACCATAATAAATGATTAAAACAGAAACAAACTGTGCGAAACCATCCACTGCTCGCGTCTACAAACAGCATTGCGTTTTGGAAAGGGAGGTAGTTACACAGCCACGAATGTATCGATGATGAAATAACTCCGGAATCCACCAATGGGAGACCAAACGACATGCAGTTATGTCATCAATCCAAAGCAGCCTTGTATCATTCAAGTTTAGATTCCATAAAAATGCAACATCGCCTTCCTTAAATGTAAGAAAGCGTACTGCCTTGCTGCGGTACAGGACAGCACAGATGATAATTAGGATTGCCGAAACTGCAATTTGCACAAAATGTCAAAAATTAGCCAACTTTAGAAAGCCTAGAAGCTGCAACATCACTCGGACAACCACATTACAAAAGACGATGCTTAAATCTTAACTGCCAGAACTCAAAACAGCATGGATAACGACACCAGAAATTCACGAAAAGTATACACTTGAAGACGTGAAACCACATACACTACCACCGAGGCGAACTCAAAGTACAACGGAAAAGGTAGATAAACTATCGATGAATGCAAAACGACAATAACTCGAAAGTGGACACTTACCTGACGAACTTCACGAGGATTCTCCGCCTGAGAAGCGAGCTCCTCAACTGCGGAGATTAACTTATCCGCGTTTGTGAGCGTGTTGGCAGCGACCTACAAGCGAGGATCATGAATAACACGGTTACTCTGATAAAGTGCCTATTTTTATGAGGAACGTCATTAATTTGCCAAAGCTTCAACTACCCAATGTCCTGCAATCAAACATAATAGACCAATTAGCCGGATAAAAACAGTACCAGGTAAAGGTGATTAAATAAAGCCAACAATTTACCTCGTTAGACAAGAAATTACAATCAGCATAATTAAAATATCATTTTCAATACTGAGCAACCATATTTGGTTAAATGAGCGAGCACACTCACTCTATCCGTAAATACATCAAAATAGAAAAAATATTACCACAGTAACGAAATAGTGAATAACTGCTTTAGAACAACGCACAACTGCAGCCAAACGTTGCGGGACGCTTTACGCATCCATTAGTTAAATAACGATTTGGAAAACTAAAGGGAATCAATTACCAAGAAAAAAAAGAATAAAAGAAGACACGATCTAAGAAGTGGCAGTAAAAACTAAATTCATGGACACAAACCTGTTCAAATTGCATGTGCGCATTATAGAGCTGTTCAGCGCGCTGACTTGACTTGCCAATAGCAGTTTGCCGGGCAAGAAAAGGTTCTCCGTGATCAGTCAGCCACGTGAGAACTTGCCCAACATCCTCCTTAAACATGAGCAATGCCAGACGCGAGGTGAGTCGAGATTTTCGGTCGGTGAAAGTTCGCTCCAACCGCTTATACCATGCCCACAACTGAAGAGAGATAAAAGGTTTTGAGACGAATTGAAAAGACTGAGCTAAGCGTCATTCACCACACACTTCGTGCACCAAATCAGCACAATGTTTGCGACCCTGGGAGTAGTCGATCGCGGCTGTAAGTGAGGTGTGCGACCCGCCAGCGACCGGAACACTGAGAAGATCCACCATAGCTCGACCATCCCTACAAGCTTCTTCATACGATCGCTGAATATCCTGCCAACGCTCCTAACAAGAAAATAAAACAAGGTCAAGAGGAAAGTTGTAAGAGAATTGGGAAGAGGATTATTCGTACCTGGATGAGCCTTAGGGCCTGATTCAAATCATTGACGGAGGTGCCAGAAATGTGACGCACATTAGTCTCCCAGGTAGTGCAATTGTTCAAGAAGGCCTCAGCACGAGTGTGGAAACTGGTAGAAAGCTGAAGCAC